CTGTACAGACACGAGCGCTGGCTTTAACAGTGTGGCACTGCTTATTTCAATGCTGGCCTTTTAGCTCTGTTACTATGATTAGAAAATGATAATCTTTTCATTTTGACTCTAAATGTCTGATTTGCCTGAATAGTATCATCCAAACTCTCAGTATAGCGTCAGCCGCCGCCTGTGGCTCGACTCCAACTACTGCGGTCATCATCATTTTCCTCTCGGGATGTTTTTAACAGATCAGAAAGCTCGTCTATGTTACGAGACAGCTCTGGAAAAGCTGCTGCTGTTGAGTATTAGTGTCCGAGTGGAGTCCTGAACCTTTCACATATCCAGTTATTTATTATTTTATCAAGCCCTTGTGGTTTTTATGCTCACTGATAATCCTGTTCAGCAGGACTCCGCTGTGTTTGGCTCGGGGGGGGGGTTCATGCTAGTCAGGCCTTCACCATTGTTATAGTTCTAGTTCTGGTGTAGGGGTGTCACAATCAGGTCAATGAGGGCCACAACACTGCAGAGTAATACTCAACATTTTCAACATTTCTGCATAATTCAGAGATGCAAAGTCATTCAGAGTGGTTTGGTGTGAAATGGTTGATAGTAGAGACTCAGATGTCTTTACAGTGGTGGTGATAGGAACCAGGGGTCACCATGACTACAACACTAATATAGACATTTATTTACTATCCAGAAACCACCAGTGAACCGACACGAGTCTTCTGAGTTTATATGGAATGTTGATGGAAAAATAGTGGAAAATCAGGAATATTCCTTATAGCATCCTGCATGTATCTCTCTATCTCTCTACCATTAACATATTTTAAAAAGTACATTTTAAGCCAAAAATATTCTAACACAACTATCATAAAATAACATCTCAGACTTACAGCGTAACATTTATAACTTTTTACTGTTATAATTTTCAATTAGGCAGCTTTTAGAAGCTCTTCAGACGTCTGGTTCCTATCACCACCGCTGTGAGCAGATCTGACTCGGTATGTTTTTTTCTACAATGGAGCGTTTCACACCAAACCACTCTGGATGACTTTGTTTACATCTTAACCATTTAATTATGCATACATTTTGAAAGATTGGTGGAATTCCCCTGTAACAAAGGAAGGATTTCTTAGTTAGCCAGATAAGCAGTAGTTAACCAGAATAGCAATAATTTTCTAACTGGCCCCAAATCAGCCCAAGTGGGATCAGCCAAGACACATCTGGGGTCAGCATTTTTGCTTTTTTTAAGCTATGCAAAACTAATGTAGAGAGAAGTATTGTGCAGTAATTAGCATTGTGCAAACTGCATGTATATAAATCATATAGTACAGACAAAATTCTGGCTTCAGGACTGTGCTATTGTTTTCAGCTGTGCCACATACATTAACACTGTATGATGCACTGTTATCTATAAAAAAATTGTCTTAACTAAAAACAGGAGTCATCTTTAAGTCTGAATATTGTCCATACTATTTCATATATATATATATATATATATATACATGCTGTTCGCACTATGCTTATTGGTGGGAGCTGTCTGATATGAGGAAAGCTAAGTGTCGTCCTCATTTCTGGCTTAAGTTATCCAGAGAAAGCTCTGAACTGTGCAGTGCTGGTGCTCATGCCTTCATGGTTTTTACTCCAGAGCCTGTGTGATGTAAGCTAAAGTCTATTCACTTACCCACTTTAAATCTCTGGTCTTTTCCAGACTTCCAGACATGCAGTCTTAAAGGGGACTTTGGCATAATTATATGTTTAAGATGGTAAGTCGTTCAGAGTGGTTTGGTGTGAAATGCTCTGTTCTAAAGAAACTTACCAAGTCAGAATTGTTCACAGTGGTGGTGATAGGAACCAGACGTCTAAAGCATTTAGTGCCGCTAAAATCTCTCTGATAAAAACTGAATTAATAAAAAACGCAAAGAAAATGTATTTTTTCAAGTTTTCCACTATTTTACCATCATCAACATTCCATTCAAAACTCAGAAGACTCGTGTAGGTTCACTGCTAGTTTTGGATAGCAAATAAAGTGGCTATATTTGTGTTGTAGTCATGGTGACCCCTGGTTCCTATCACCACCACTGTAAAGACATCTGAGTCTCTACAATCAACCATTTCACACCAAACCACTCTGAATCACTCTGTTTACATCTCAACCACTGAATTATGCAGAATTTTTGAAAATGTGGTGAAATTCCTCTTACAACTTAAAAATTTCCAAAAAATAATAAATAAAATACGGAATATTTCTGTTCAAATGTCCAGATTTTGTGTCGGCATCAACCATGGCTCGAGCTGAAGTGCCACTCATTAGTGTTTTTATACACGTGTGGCCTCAAAGATTCAGCATGCCAACGTTGAGCATGTCACAGAACGCAGGTCCATCAGCGGCCTCGAGGCTGGAGTCTGGAGATTTAGATCGGGCAGGTCCTTCATCCCCTGAGTCAGCGTTTTTGCTAAGGGCATTAATTCCTGGCATGACGAAGCACCGTGATTATCCAGGGTGCGTCATCAAAGCTACCTCCCACTTTAACCATCGGTAAATTTGCCTAAACACGCTCAGTTTGACTCCTCAGTCGGGCCTTCTCGCGGGACGCCCCCGTGTGCGCGAGTTTACACTGACCCGGCGGCTGACCGAGCCGCAGTAATCTCAATTAAAGCCGAACAAGTGGACGTGCACTTGTTGTGATGCTTTTGGTGCTTCTGAAACACACACAAACACAAAGTGCGCGCAGGGGGTCTGAGTCTGTGCTGCAATGCAACCTGTATCAGCTCCAGGTACTCAAACACATCTTATATTATTTATATTTATAATATGGAAGCAAAATGTGAAAATCATATCTCATGCTTATTATATGATTAAGTTAAAGGAATATTTCAGTGTTTTTCAGCCTAATCTGTATCTGCCCCTTCTGAAGTGTACAGTCAGTTACTATGGACAATAAGTTCTCTTGTAAAAGGACAGAAAACCTGTTTAATCAAATCATGCGTGTAACAGAAGCCGTGCTGATCCAAGGAAGGCTGAAAAACACAGACGTTTTCTTTCAACGTGCGTATCATATACAGTAGTATTCAAACATCGAACAAACTACGACCATCTCAATCTTCCAGTAACGTTTCTAGCATTTTTTTCCTTATTTTATTTTCATATTTTATTCCATTCTTTATTTAAGTGGAGAAGACACACGGTGGCAGGCAGGACTACAAGCAACACTGTTCACTGACTGCCATCTACATGCACATTTTATAAAGTAAAGTATTTTATACAGCTGTTTTTTTTTTTTCTCTTCCATTCCTTACACGGCCAGTATTTTATGATATTTATAGGCTTTGACATCTCTGGGTTCTACCACGTTTGTTAAAATGTTAATAACTTGATTGATGTGACAGGGAAAGGAAAGAAACGATTCATCTCTGCATTGTTGTTGCTTTTATTTATTATCAGCATCATAATGTTAGCTTTTTCTTCATATTTGTACTCCTCCAATAAAGAATAAGTTTATGGCAGTTATGAGTGGCTGTGTTTCTGTATTTCCTGTAGAAACTGTCCAGTTTAAACTGGGGTGTTTTGATGGCCCTCAAACAGAGCTACCAAGACTGAGTGATGCTGTATTGTTTGTCCTCGGCTCTAGGTCTTGTTTATGCCATCTTAAAAAGGGTCTATAAGCAAATTAGCCACTAAACAGAATGTCAGGGTTACAATTTATTTATATTTTAAAACAATGTTATTTCAACAATTTCACCTTCTTGAGCCTCAATTTAGCAATATTGGTTTTTAAATCAATCATATAGAATTCCAAGCACCACAGAAGAGCTCGTCCTCACAGTCATGTGTGAAGGGTGAGGCCATATTTTCAGGTGAAAAACTAGTTTTTCTGCAATTTTCACTGCAATAAGTTACACATGACTATGAAAAATCTGATTTAAATGACATAAAGAACATAAAACAAATGGCAAATAAAGATTATAAAACAATGAAAGTTGTTGTCCCCAGGAGTCGTGTCACTGGTGTTACTGTGTAACAAAAAATCTCTTATTTTGGAAATAAAAGTCACACTGATGACATCACTCGACTTCCTTTTACCTGTTTTCTGAGGATCTATGAAGAAAAGCACATGGTGAGTCCACTGTGTCTTTCAGTTATCAGAGATTTTCTCATTTAGCTCATGATTTCATATGAAGCTTTTAGCTGAAGTCACTGGTGTGACCGACTTTATTCTGAGGTAATTGTGAAAAAACAGAACACAAATGGATTAAATTACATATTTTAGTGGATATTCAATGATTGACAACATGTGGTTTGATGCTCCGTAGCAGTTATTTTTGTAAAATGCATTGTTCATTAAAAATGTCTCTGGTGTTTCCTTTATTATGTGTAACACCAAATGTGTACAGGACGTTGATAACATTACATATATATATATATATATATATATATATATATATATATATATATATTCTATAAAAAAGAAAAAAGTTATTATTTTGGAGATATGAGGTTTTGTTCATCAGCGATATATGTGTGTGTGTGTGTGTGTGTGTGTGTGTGTGTATACATATATATATATACATTTTGTATTCATTGGTGTTCCCAGGTTGTATAAAAGAAATAACATTTCACACACATTTGTTTTGCTTGTTTTGGATGATATTGGTCACTACAACATACAATTTTATAATCTACAAAAACATTCCTCTGCTTTAGGGCCCTGACCTAACATAACCACACCTGTAGTAGTGCAAGAACCTCTGATAGTTCACACCCTATGGGGAGGGGAAACAATTCCCACCAGAACTGATATTTCCTGGAGGTTTAAATTGCTGAGGTCAAATTGACCCCAAAGATAATAGACATTAGTTTTTGCGTGGATTTTGGAGTGGAGTTGGTGAGTGACGTTTTAAGTTATGACTTTGAGAGCCCTCTCCATTTGGTTACATAGAAGTCAATCTATGGAGATACCAAAAGAAAAGATCAAAACACGTGAAAAATGAACATTTAGGTTCATCTCGTCAATGACTGTGATGTAGACTTCGCCAGCTTTTTTGCCCAGTACCTCGCCTCACCGTACTGTCACAGTTTTTCACCCTGAGGCATGTCTCTGCAGGGCCTCAGCGAGAGCCGGCTGGTGGGCGTTGGAGCTGGTTAATTATTTCTACTCATGAACAGGTTAATATTCCTTTGTAGTGCTAATGACAGCTCAGACACGCCTTTACTGCGGGTTCAGTACACTCCAGCTCATAACTCACAAAGTGGCTTTCGCTCTCGTTACCGCACTGATTCCTTTAAACACTTCTAAAATGCTGTCCTTGAATCAGTGGTGGAAGGTTCTGGAACAACATGTCACTTGTTGTTGAATAATAACCGCAAAGGTTAAATAACCCATGAACAGTTTCAGTTTCAGCTTTTCAACAGCGTTTCTTCTGAAATGAAGGGTCTTAATTGGGAGTTTGTCCAACTTTGCTGCAGTAAGAGCTTCTACTCTTCTGGGAAGGCTTTACCTTAAATGTTGGAACATTGCTGTGAGGATTTGATTGCAGCTACAAGCGCATTAGTGAGATCAGGTACTGATGTTGGATGATCAGTTCTGGATCACTAGAACTCGTCCCAAAGGCATTGGAGGTCCATCACTTTTCAGTTCCACTGTTCCACAGTCCAATGCTGGGGGGCTTTGTTTTGGGCACGGTGAAATTAGGCTCACGTGCAGCTGCACCAGAGCATCCAGTTCTGTTGGTCAGTGCTTTTCTATGGAGATTATACAAGCTGTGCACAGCTGAATGCCATTAGTGACTTTAAAGTAAAGTGTCTACAGATGTTTAGACACATAGTGTACATATCTGGTCAGCTGGACCCTGTCCAGTGATTAACAGGGTAAAGGGGGCTGATAAACTGCAGCAACAAGTTGGCTACAATAATTGTAAAACCTATAAAGTGCACCTAAATAGATACCAGGTAGACATAACTTTACATATACAATATATGCCATTTTGTTAAATGTGTCTCTTTATTATTATATTCCAGCATCAAAGCTTCATGATCTTCATTCCAGTCTTCATAGTCCAAACGTTTGGCTAGTCTCTCTCGCTCATAACGCGGTTGAGAGAGATTTCGCTTTCTCAATCCTCTGGCCTTGCCTGACCTTTTTTGTCATGCTTCTTCGGAAACCCTGGCCAGCCATGAAGTAGAGGATGGGGTCAATGCAGCTGTTGGCACTGGCCAGCGGCCTGGTGACCTTGTAGGCGATGCTGGATCCCTCCAGCAGGCCGCAGCCGACCTGCAGGTGACGGAAGCAGTAGTACAGGCTCCGGGTCAGGTGGAAGGGCAGGAAGCAGAGCATGAAGGTCAGCAGGACGATGATGATCATCTTCACTGATTTCTTTTTGGAGCGCTGGGATGTGGGCCCTCCGACAGAGCCGGGCTCCAGAAGCTTCCGCACCATCAGACCATTGCACACCATCACCACCAGGAAGGGAAGTACGAAGAAGAGGAAGGAAACCACCGAGCTGTAGACCAAGAAGTGGTTGAAGAGCTCCTCAGACGTGGTGTCGTGGCAGACCGACTCGTTTCCAGCATTTCTGGTTCTGGAGAAGTAGAGCACAGGAGCCTGAAGAAAAACAAACACATTTTTCAGAAAGGTGCAAATAATGGGTTCAGTGTGAAAACAGGGACGCATCATGGTCACAAGCATGTTTGGTGGCCCACCTTGTACTCCAACAATAGGTCGATCAATAAATAAATAAATAAATAAGACAAATAAATAAGTACCTAAAAATTGAGGTTAAACAGAAGTTCGTGTTGTTTATGTGCACTTTGAGCAATGCAATTTTGTTGAAAATATACAAATTTAGTGTAATTATTGTGCAGTATCCCATTGTGTTTACATCATGAGTTTGTGCTCTTGGTGGTGAAGTTGTAATGCAAAAACAAAAGTAGTCCTAAATGCACTGAAGAGTAAACTCTAACACGACTACACCATCTAAAATATCCCGTTTAAATGGCAACAACAAAATCCTGTGAGTCAATACAATAATAATATAAAATCGGAGAACAGATACTTCATTTATTTAGTTTATTTAATCAATCAGTTCATCTAATGGTTGAATCATATCAAGCTACCTTAATCCTTGTAGTCAGAGAACCAAAGTCCCCTGTGCTCTGGCCCCACCAACCACGTTTACATGCAGCCTGACAATCAGTTAATAATCCGACTAATAGCTCAGTTGGAATAGAATACATCCATGTAAACACATCAGTCAGAATAGGTTAGTCCGATTGAGGCCATTCGGAATACAGTGTCTATCTGAGTGAACGAGGTGGGTAATCCTGTAAATAATCCGTTAAATAGAAAAATAACCATGTAAACGTCTGTATCTGATTACATTCCCTATCGGAAAGTTTAAGTCTGTTCTGATCATGTTCGTCGCGTCATAGTGAAAGTTTATACCGCTCAACATGGCGGAGCAGAAACTGGTCTGCAGAGGAGACGAAGTTTATGCTCTGATCTTTAAAAGACGGCGGCGGGACGGACGTCCATCTTATGTGTCTCAGAACACGACGTCTTCCTCTCGGCCTTCTTTAATAAGGACATGTGAAGGACGTTTTCCTGAGTCTGACATCATTTTAAAGCAATTAAAAACACAAGCACTGCTCACTGCTGCTCATCTCACTCTGACTGGACTGCTGTGAACGTAGCCACTGTCACTGTTAGGCAGGCAGTTAGCACCATGCTAACCTGGTGACTAAGCTTTCATTACTTGTTACCTATATTAGCCTGGTAGCTCCAAGCTAAAGAAGCTAACTTGAGACACCAAACATGTCTTGGCTGATTGACTACATAACTACTACAATAAGTGCTGCTGTAGTTATTAAACACCTCAGTGTCACCGCTGGACTGAGAATAGTCCACCAACCAAAAATATCCAGCCAACAGCGTCCTGTGGGCAGCGTCCTGTGACCACTGATGAAGGACTAGAGGATGACCAACACAAACTGTGCAGCAGCAGATGAGCTATCGTCTCTGACTTTACATCTACAAGGTGGACTGACAAGGTAGGAGTGTCTATGGAGTGGACAGTGAGTGGACAGTGTTTAAAAACTCCAGCAGCACTGCTGTGTCTGATCCACTCGTACCAGCACAACACACACTAACACATCACCACCACGTCAGTGTTACTGCAGTGCTGAAAATGATCCACCACCCAAATAGTACCTGCTCTGTGGTGGTCTTGTGGCGGTCCTGACCACTGAAGAACAACGTAACAAAGTACACAGAAACAGATGGACTACAGTCTGTAACTGTAGAACTACAAACTGCTCCTATATGAACAGTGGAGCCAATAAAATGGACAATAAGTATAAAAACAAGGATTGGTGTATTTAGATATTTATAAATCTGTTTTTTTCACATTGGATGTGGAAGTGGGGTTAGGTTAACTTTCTAGTCGGCCAAATCAAATGTCCTTTGGCCATCAAGCCACAGTTTGGTCAGCCTTGGAGGAAAAGATATGATTGTCCCTCCCTCCTCTTTGTTCTACCAGGCATAAAAAATACCAACCGTATCTCTGAACACACCTGGAAGACCAGCACGGTCGCCCAAACGCCCACCGAAACTAGTCGGGCACGCCGGGCACTGACCCACTGCATGGAACGCACGGGGTGGCAGACGCCCAGGAAGCGATGAATGCTGATGCAGCTGAGGAAGAGGATGCTGCCGTAGAGATTGGCGTAGAAGAGGAAGCGGATGAGCTTGCAGAAGGCCTCGCTGAAGGGCCACGCGTTCTTATCGGCGTAGTAGTAGACGAGGAAGGGCAGCGTGAGGATGTAGAGGGTGTCGCAAACCGTCAGGTTGATCATGTAGATGGTGTTCGGGCTCCAGTGCTTGATCCGGAACAGGATGACGTACATGGCGGTGATGTTAAGCACCAGGCCGACCACAAACACCAGCCCATAGGCGGCAGGGAGCAGGATGTACTTGAAGTCTTCGTTAAACTTGCAGCGGTACTGAGCACTGCTGTTAGCGAAACTGGAAGTGTTTGGGGTGGTCATCTTGATTCAGGGATATCTGCTGGGAAAAGATATGAGATCTGTGAGGTTCATTTGAGAGGCTTATTGAACAGAAGTGTGAGACATATAATAATAACCCATAATTTGGCAGAAATGTACATTTACCTGCTTAGAAACTGTCCAGCCCAAAATTACATTAGAAGAACCAAAAGTGGTTCCTCTATCCATCACTCAAGAAACACTTGTGGCGCCTTTTTTGAAGAGTCTATTTGTGGTTATGTAACATCACCATGCTAATGCTAAAAAGTGTGTATTACTGGTTTGCTACAGTACTGTGTTAAAGTCAGAGACCACCTTCCTTTATTTAATCTCCAGTCGAAACAGCAATTCAGTACAAATTATTCATTTTTCAGAAGATATTTCTGAGGAAATTACACTCTTAAAAAGATGTTTTTTCAGACTTCTTTAGTAAAGACAATGGTTGTATGTGGAACTATGAACACTTAAAGAACCATTTGCATTATTAAAGAGTTCTCTGCACAATGTGTTGTATATGGTTCAATATATATACTTGAAAATATGTCTATATAGCACCATAAAAGGTCTTCTGCTACTGTTACAAGCTTGTAGCAATAGCAGAACACGTTTTGGTTCCATAGGTTTGCCATGCAAAGAACCATTTAAGCATGCATTTAGTTTTTTGAGTGTTGTTGGTCTTTACAAAAAAAACCTAAATAAGCATCTTTTTAAGTGTGTAGATATAAGCTAAACCATTTGCACATGGAAGGAGAAAGTCAAAGGAAAATAAATAAAAAAAAAATGAATTCAAAAATGTGTCTCCTAACAACCACCTGGAAGAGCTGGCAGACACCAAAACTGCCCCCCATCAGATAAACAGCACTTAAAGCTTTCATCTCTGAGAGAGAGGAGAAAATCAAGCTGCTTCAGATCTGAAAACATCCACAGGTGTTTCTGTCCATCCTTCCACTGTGAGAAGACGACTCAGCGCTGTGGGTCTGAAAGGATGTGTAGCTGTCAAGAAGAACCTCACTGAGAAAAGGAGACGGACACATCGAACAAAGAAGCTGAACGATGGACTGACCACCTCAGAGTCCAGACCTCAACACCACTGAATGTGTTTGATTACTTCAGAAAATGATCAACCAGCTTCTAAGACTGAACTTTCGAGGTGTGTCTGCAGATTCTTTGAGGAACTGAAAGTGAGTCTCCTGAAAAGAATGGAAGCTGGAATAAAGGTAAAGCGCGACTCACTGAACACTGAAAAAATGTGATATTATATTCAGTTGTTGAGACTTCTGTTTATTATGTTTTCCTCTTTTTTGAAAAATGGATGACTTGTACTTAACTGCAGTTTTGACTGGACATTAAAAACTACATTTGAGGTGGGGGGAAAAAACAAACTGTATTTTTTGCTGAATTTTGACTTAACCATCAGAATTAACACATCTGATACAACTCATCAGCTCATTTTCATGCCCTATGTGAGCTGATTTGGGTGTGATAGAGCTGATTAAACCGTAAGCTCAACGGTGCGGCCCTCCTCCTCCTCTGATTGTCGTGATCCCAAACTGGGATCATGGTGGTATAACAGGGGAGTGTGTATTGTAAGTAAACCTGCTGTTAACCAGATCAAATACACTCATGAAAGTGTGATTTACTATCAGTGTCCCAAGATCGTCCAGCTAACTCATCCAGCCATGAACAGCACACTAGGAGGAGCCTCTTTTCTGTGTATGCTGATCTTCCCAGGAAGAACGAGGTGTGACTGTAAAATGTACGGCCAGTGAAGTCAGCTGCGTTAAATAAACCGTTGGAGACTGGCGTCATTTCAACGTGTACTCTAGACTCCTATTTAATAGCGTAAGTGTTAGTTTAACGCTGGTGATTTGGCTGCGAGGAAAGACACACACACCTGAGCACACGGGCCAACAGCCAACACACAAACAGATATCACAATAGAAAGCAAATAGATAATAACATAATTTATTACCTAATTATGATTTATGTATTTTAAGCCCCCCTACACTGCAAAGGCCTATATTTTCTCACTCTCATAACCACAATGATCATTTATATATTAACTTCATGGAAGTTAGTGGATAATTCATAGTAGTTACTACGCAATTTGTAGTAATTCTGGAAAAAATTAACAGTAGCTACTGAAAAATGTATTGTAGTTATTGAAGAATTTGTTCAGTGGTGGGAAATAAGTATTCAGACTCTTTTGTTTTTGTTATTTTATAAACTTCCAGTGCATACAGTCACTTCCAACTTGCATGCATAGTGTCTTTTGAAATTATGGATTTTTTAGGATTAATAAAGGCAAGCATTAACAATCCAGATTTATGGCATACAAATGCTTATTATTCAGTAACTACAGGGACTTCAATGCAAACTAATGGAGCTGTTCATAAGTTATAGAAGTATGCAATAAAGCTTTACTTATTAAGAGGTTAAAAACCATAATTTACATTGAGAAAAGTGAGAAAAATTCCAGAAATTTTTAATGAGATTGAAGTGGATGTTAGTGGTTAGTTAGTTGGTGTATATATGGTGATAGTAGTTACTAAGCAATTTGTACTAATCATGGAAAAATAATAGTAGCTACTGGAAAAATTCATTGTAGTTACTGAATTGTTTGTATAGTGGTGGGAAATAAGTGTTTGTTTTAGTTATTACATAAATTTTCAGTCACTTCAAATTGACATGCATAGTCTCTTTTGACTTTGTATTCATGAATAAATATTCATATTTATTCAGAAAACTCTGTAAAATTATAAGCATTAACAAAGCTAAGTTTAACCCCTTAATAATCCATGTTTATTACTCACTTAGGCTTATTATTTAGTAACTGCAGGGACTTCAATGCAAACTAATGGCAGTATTCTTAAGTTATAGAAGTGTGTATTAAGTTTTTTCTTGTTAAGAGGTTAAAAACTATAATTTGCAGTGAGAAAAGTGTTCAGACTACATATAAATACCATCAAAACTATAAGACATTATTAGCTATTTGCAGAACTGTGATTCAATTTTGTTTCATTCCTCTTGGAAAAGAGGAATTTCCCCAAAGTTACTTTGTCCCTCTGTTGAAGAATTTCAGATTCTTCCATAAATTTTCAAAGAGATTGAAGTGGATGTTAGTGGTTAGTTAGTTGGTGGATAATTGATAGTAGTTACAAAGCGATTTGTAGTAATTATGGAAAAATAATAGTAGCTACTGAAAAGATTCATTGTAGTCACTGAATAATTTGTACAGTGGTGGGAAATAAGTATTCAGACACTTTTGCTTTTGTTATTTCATAAACTTCCAGTACATACAGCCACTTCCAACTTGCATGCATAGTGTAAGTTTTCACTTCGTATTTATACATAGATACTCATAATTATTCAAAACATTAGTTATAAGCATTAACAAAGACATGTTTAACAATCCAGGTTTATGTCATACAAATGCTTATTATTCAGTAACTACAGGGACTTCAGTGCAAACTAATGGAGCTATTCTAAGTTATAGAGGTGTGTTATGAAACTTTGGGCCTGCTGTCGGGCCCACGGCTTGTTAAGGGGTTAAAAACTATAATTTACAGAGAGAAAAGTCTTCAGACTACATTAATATCATTACACTACGTGCCCTCCTTTAAAGAATTTCAAATTCTTCCATAAATTTTCAATGAGATTGGAGTGAGCAGATTGGCTAGGCTGTGCAAGCATCTACACCTTCTTTAGAAACCAGCCTTGAATCATTTTGAACCATCTTCTCCGCAGATTCACTTTCTTGGGTGCTGAGATTAAATTCTTGTCTAATATCTCCCAGTATGTTGCTCCTTTCATGTTTCTGTTGTTGACGTTTAATGCCCCAGTACCATTTCCAGAGAAGCGGCCCCATCATGATGCTCCCACCTTCATACTTCACTGTGGGTAGTCTTGGGATCTTGCATGCAACCTTCCATCTCCAAACATGAGCTGAATTTTTGCCAAAGAGGTTTTCTTTACTTTACTTTATTGTCCATCATGGGGCAAAATTAGATTTTACAACTTTTGCTTCAACTTTAGGAAGTGCCTTCACTATGATTGTTTATAAAATTATTGAACACTTTTCCTTATCAAGATTGTTTTTGCACAAATCTTTGTTTATGCTTTTACACCCTTTTTGTTCATGTTCATAAGTACAAAGTCAAAGAGATTATGTGTGTACAGTTGAAGTCGATATATGAACTGGAAGTATATTAAATAAAAAAAAACAAAATTGCCTGAATATTTATTTTCCTCAACAAAGCAGTTACTAAATAATTGATAGTAGTTACTGATTTGTTGATTGTAGTGAATGAATATTTAATAGTTACTGAAAAATTCGTAAGATATACTGACAATTTCAGAGTAGATACTGAATAACATATACTAGTTACTGAATATTTCATAGATACGAATAACTTTTAGTAGTTATTGAATATTTCATAGATACTGAATAACTTACAGTAGTTATTGAATGTTTCATAGATACTGAATAACTTACAGTAGTTATTGAATATTTCATAGATGCTTAATAACTTTTAGTAGTTACTGAATATTTCATAGATACTGAGTAACTTACAGTAGTTACTGAATATTTCATATATACTGAATAACTTACAGTAGTTACTGAATATTTCATAGATACTGAGTAACTTTTAGTTTATTGAATATTTCATAGATGCTTAATAACTTTTAGTAGTTACTGAATATTTCATAGATACTGAGTAACTTACAGTAGTTACTGAATATTTCATATATACTGAATAACTTTTAGTATTTCCTGAATATTTCATCGTTACTGACTAACATATAGTAGTTACTGAATATTTCATAGATACTGAATAACTTTTAGTAGTTACTGAATATTTCATAGATACTGAATAACTTTTAGTAGTTACTGAATATTTCATAGAGACTGAATAACTAACAGTAGTTACTGAATATTTCATAGATACTGAGTAATTTTTGCAGTTGATGAATATTTCATAACAATTACAGCACATATTTAGTAGCTACTGAATAATTTATACCAGCATTGCAAAGACCAATATCATGATAACAATTACCAAATGATACATTGTGCAGTTCTAGTTTGCAGTGATGCTCGTCTGCAGCTTTTTATGTAACACAGCTCACTTCTCATACTGAGCGTCAAAACATTTTGTTCCAGACATTCCAAGTCCTGGAGCATGACAGAACAGTTCAACATAGCCCAGCTGCTGTCATCCTCCTATTTCAGTTTCACTCTTGTTTTACTCTCCCTAATTCTACTCCTACTAAAACTAAAAAGTGCTGCACTGAACTCGTGATTCAAATGTGCACATCATTTCCACATGAATATGTATTTTATTGCCAAAGGTGCGTAAACTAAAATACAGAATTGTATGATGTAATATCAGGTAAATTCAGAGCATATCTGTTTCCAGTGCTGAGCTCAAACAGCACGGACTGGAGTATAACAGCAAGCAGAAACGCAGAGACAGCTCAGGCTGAGTCTCACTGCTGAGGATCCTCTCTTTCATAAGACGTCAATTCAGTAAGCTGTCATTCTGACTATGAAGATCTTCCTATGTTCAGTCATGTCACCCCACTGCTGCGCTCCCTTCACCGGCTTCCTGTAGCTGCACGCATCAGATTTAAAACTCTGATGCCTACAAAGCCAAAAATGGACCAGCCCCTGATGGCAATGGTCAAAACTCGAACTGTAACTCGAGCCCTTTGAGCTTCAAGTACAGCTCGGCTTGACCCGCTGTCCTTCAAGACATGTGGAAGACAAGCATCAAGACTTTTCTCTGTCCTGGAGTCCAGGTGGTGGAACGAACTCCCACTGGCTGTCCGAACAGCAGAGTCTCTTGCGGCCTCTTTATACAGCACTTAAATGAGCACTGAGTATTCATTGTAATGTATTGTACTGTTCTTATTGAAATGTATTGTATTGTATTGTATTGTATTGTATTATATTGTATTGTATTATATTGCACATCTGAGCTCAGGACTGGCTTTCTCTCCCTAACCTATTTGTAACTAGCAAAGATACTTTCTCTAGATAGACAAAGCACTTTTTGTAAGTCGCTCTGGATAAGAGCGTCTGCTAAATGCTGTAAATGTAAATGTAATTTGCAGGTTGAACAGTCTAGCAGTAATTATAGTACGTCAATGTAACTAGACTTGTGGCTTAATCTTGACGATTCATCATGAAACCCCCTCAAATGAGCTGCAAACCATCTTCAGGATTACCTCCAGTCACCTTCGCCCACTACTACCAGCCTAAATTCCAACGATTCAATTCAGCATAATCTTTATCTGCCGCTGAAGCAGCTGCCTATCAGTCAGCAACGCCTCTGTCCTTTTCTAAGCGCAGGGAAACATGTCAAATGTATTGTTCAGAGTAATCGAGTGTACGCTACAGACGCAGCAGATTAGAGTTTAGGCTGAAATATGGTGTTCCTGTTTATTGACCACTATAAACTAATGTGTAAGTCCCGTAGTTTTGAGAGTGTGTGTTCAGACAAACTCTCGTAACAGACTCTTAGAGATTACAGGGTGAAATTAGGAAGGAAAGACTCCGCTCTGCTCTCAACTTTCATTTGAACAGCAACAAAACAACCTTCCACCCTGGAGATCACAGAGTTTATATTCATTACTTACAATAAAACACAAATAACAGGGCTACTCACAGGAACGGTGAAGCCAGCCAGGTAACGTCAACCCTCTCTCTCTCTCTCTCTCTCTCTCCACTCTGCATACCTGTAGTGCTCCGCCTCAGCCTGTAGCTCTGAACTAACTGTCACCCCTGTAGGTGTGTGTGTGTGTGTGTGTGTATTTGTGTGTGTGTATTTGTGTGTGTGTATTGTGTGTGTGAGTGGCGTGGACAGGCCTCAGCCTGCTCTGTATCTTAACATCACGTTTGTTTTCATACCTTATCATACCGAGCCCTGTTGGTGACATCCCATATAAATAAAAATGCATGGCCACGCCTTATTAACGCATGGGAACAAGTGAGACTTAGTAGGGCGTGGTAATGAGATAATTAAGTCGTGGCCACCACTTAGTAAGCCGTGGGAATGAGATCATATCTTACTAAGTTGTGGCCACGACTTAATTATCTCATTCCCACGTCTTACAAAGTCTTACTTGTTCCCACACGTTAATATAGCGTGGCCACGACTTATTAACGTGTGGGAACAAGTAAGACTTAGTAAGGTGTGAGAATGAGATAATTAGGTTGTGGCCACAACTTAGTAAGCCATGGGAATGAGATCATGCCTTAATAAGTCATGGCCACGCATTAGGATTTCGTTTCCACGCCTTACTAAGTCGTGGCCATGCATTATATTTATTTATACAAGATGTCACCAGTGGGGCTCCATATTATCATGTTATGGCATATATTTTATTTTTATGTGATAATAATGTGTCCCATATGTATGATGCATGCCTATATATGTATATATATGTATATATATGTATAGACATATGTATGGTTCTTTAGTAAAGGGAATGGTTCTTTGCCTGGTGAAATGGTTCTTCAGACTGATGTTGTATATGGTTCTGTATAGTTCCAGAAAGAGTTCTGATATTGTTACAACCATATACAGCAATATTCCTCAAACCATATCACCATTTAGGCATGCAAATGGTTCCATACAGAACTCATGGTTCTAAGTATAACCATCCTCTTTACTAAAGAACCAACCATATTTTTTTGCTAATTTGTTTTTGCTTATGAACAAAGAGTAGATATTTGGCTATAATTCACACTTTATGCCAAGACGTTGAGTAAACATAAATATACACTATGTAGACAAAAGTATTGGGACGCACCTCTTAATCATTGAATTCAGGTGTTTTGTTAAGTCTGATTGCTACAGGTGTATAAAATCAAGCACCCAGCCATGCAGCCTGCCTTTACACACATATGAGAAAGAATAGGTCGCTCTAAAGAGCTCAGTGAATTCGAGTGTGGTGTTGTAATAGGAAGCCACTGTTGCAACAAGTCAGTTCATGAAATTTCTTCCCTCCTAGATATTCACGAAAAGTGGAGGCGTTTAGGAACCACAGCAACTCAGACACGAAGTGTCAGACCACGTAAAGTTACAGAGCAGGTCGCTGAGCGCTGAAGTCTCCAACACTCTGCTGTTCCAAACCTCCTCTGGCATCAACATCAGCACAAAAACTGCACCAGGAGCTTCGTGGCAGGGTTTCCATGGCCGAGCAGCTGCATGCAGGCCTTACATCACCAAGCACAATGCCAAGTGTCAGATGGAGCGGTGTAAAGCGCCGCCACTGGACTCTCGAGCAGTTGAGACGTATTCTGTGGAGTGATGAATCAGCTTCTCTGTCTGTCAGTCTGATGGACGAGTCTGGGTTTGGGCGAATGCCAGGAGAACGTTACCTGCCTGACTGCACTGTGCCAGCTGTAAAGTTTGGTGGAGGAGGGATGATGATATGGGGCTGTTTTTCAGGGGTTGGTCTAGAACCCTTAGTTCCAGTGAAGGGAAATCTTAATGACTCAGCACCAAGACATTTTGGACAATTGTACACTTCCAACTTTGTGGGAACAGTTTGGGAAAGAACCTTTTCTGTTCCAGCATGACTGAGCCCCAGTGCACAAAGCAGCTCCATAAAGGCCTGACTGGGTGAGTTTGGTGTGGAAGAACTTGACTGACCCTCACAGAGCCCTGACCTCAACCCCATCAAACACGTTTGGGATGAACTAGAACGGAGATTGTGAGCCAGACCCTCTCGTCCAACATCAGTGTCTGACCTCACAAATGCTCTTTTGGATGAATGGGCAGAAATTCCCACAGACTCTCTCCAACATCTTGTAGGAAGCTTCCCAGAAGAGTGGAAGCTGTTAGAGCTGCAAAGGAGGACCAACTCCGTATTAATGCCTATGGATTTAGAATGGGATGCCATTCAGAACCATTAGCCTACTGTGTTTGCACACAGAGGACCCATCCGTGCAGTGAAACACCCACATACATGCATGCTAGTGAACACACACACACTAGGGGGCAGTGAGCACACGTGCCTGGGAGCGGTGGGCAGCCCTATCCACGGCGCCTGGGGAGCAGTTGGGGGTTAGGTGCCTTGCTCAAGGGCACTTCAGTCACATACTGTCAGCCAAGGGGATCAAACCAGCGACCTTCCGGTCACAAGGCTGGTTCCCTAACCTGCAGCCCACGTCTACCATTCAAGCTCCTGTAGAGGTAATATGTAGGTGTCCCAAAACTTTTGTCAATATAGTGTATGTTCTATAAAAAAACTGAAATCTGAGGCTTCCCTTCGTTTATTTAATTATTCATTTCTCAGCTTCCATTCAGGAGACTCACTTTCAGTTTCTCAAAGAATCTGCAGACACACCTCCAAAGTTCAGTCATAGAAGCTGGTTGATCATTTTCTGAAGTGATCAAACACATTCAGTGATGGTGAGGTCTGGACTCTGGGGTGGTCAGTCCACTGTTCAGCTTCTTTGTTTAATGTTTGGATGAATATGTGTTTTCTGCTTCTTTTCCTGACACTGAAATTGACTAACGTGTACTCAGTAGCCGTAATAGTAGTAGCAGTACTTAATAACTGTTTTGATGGTAATAATAAAATAGATAAAGAGCTCATCAAAGCAAAATCACATTTCGGTATCTCCTCTTGTAGTTGTGTCTGTGTTAATAGGTTTCCATCTAAATCACCCTAAAGCTCTCCACATTGTTTCCTTATTGTTCAGGAAGGGCAGAAAGTTTTATCTCACTCAGATAAAAGTCTTTATTAGCTGTGATTCACATGATGGCATGTATGCAGTGTGAGTCGTTTAGCTGCTGTGAACATTAACAGTTATAGAAATGATTACTGCAGTTCATGTTGGAAAGACTTTGCATAAAAAGCTTGTGTCCTTCATTCTTTCATACATTAGCTTTACCTGGACATTACAACCCAAACCTGAGAGTACACAGTTCACAGTTCTATTACACAGTGACTGTAAAATTCAGAGGAAGCTGTTGAGGGAGGGGTGGAATGGAGCTCAGATGAGCAGACAGTTCCAGCAACTGCAGAGCAGAAATAAAGACAAATGGTCAGGAAGGTCATTGTCCAGTGTTTGGTCACAGCCATAAAAAGAAAAAGGTGGATGGTGGGGCTCAGTCTAGAACTGCTTTGGCATTTTGTAATGGAACAAACAAGAGAGAGAAAAAATGAAATACTATATATGTATGCATGTATATATATATATATATATATATATATATATATATATATATATGTAATATATGTATATATATATAATATATATATATAATATATATATATATATATATATGTCCTTGTCCTGTAAAGTTGTCACACACACACACACACACACATATATATCTATATATCTCTCTCTCTCTTTCTCTCTCTCTCTCTCTCTCTCTCTCTCTCTCTATATATATATATATATATATATATATATATATATCAGGAATAACATTATGACCACCTCCTTGTTTCTACGCTCATTGTCCATTTTATCAGCTCCACTTACAGTTACAGACTGTAGTCCATCTGTTTCTCTGCATACTTTGTTAGCCCCCTTTTACCCTGTTCTTCAGTGGTCAGGACCCCCATGGACCCTCACAGAGCAGGTACTATTTGGGTGGTGGATCATTCTCAGCACTGCAGTAACACTGATATGGTGTGTTAGTATGTGTTGTGCTGGTCTGAGTGGATCAGACACAGCAGTGCTGCTGAAGTTTTTAAACACTGTGTCCACTCACTGTCCACTCTATTAGTGTGGGTGTGTGTATAGACAGATAGATATGCTTTTTTCTTTAATATTATCATTATTCATATTAAACGTGTCTTTAATTGCATTGGCCACAGTGTTAATCATGTGAATGTGAATTTGGGACTCAAATTCAGTGTGAGATCAATAACTCTGCTATTGATTATCGCGCCGCTGAGATCCTGAACCTAGGTCGATTTTTCTGTCTATCGACTGCGGTTCCTTGTTGCTAGGCAGCTCAGGAGACGCTGCGTCATTTTTCATTTTCTTTCCCACCCGTTTTTCTCACAAGTCCCGCCCTCCTGCGTTGTGATTGGCCAGCGTTGCTCCACACTCAACATACAGCTCGCCGATTGGACCGTTGACACGTCGGTCCCGTTGCGTTGCCATAGTAACTGTAGAACGGCTTTCTCGTAGTGCCCTCTTCACCATGAGTTCTATACAGAACCACTTGCACGCTCAAATGGTTCTTTGCATGGTGAAATGGTTCTTCAGACTGATGTGTACGGTTCTATATAGCACTAGAAAGGGTTCTGCTGTTGTTATGATGTCAAGCCTGTAACAGAAGAAGAGCCCTTTTGGTGCTATATAGAACCACACACAACGCATTCTCGGAATTATTTGGCCCTTATGCATGCACATGGTTCTAAATAGAACCCATGGTTCTAAGTAGAACCATTCCCTTTACTAAAGAACCTTTTTTAAGGGTGTATTTCTTGCTAATATCTTTCTGCTTATGAACAAAGAGTGAAAGTTCATAAAGTCGTTTTTTTCCATAACTGTCCTTTATGTTTAGTATATTTCATGATGAAGGGACATTGATCCAAAACAACTTGGGATAAATTCAGATTTTTAAATATTTAAATATATGCACATTTATGCAAATATATTGAAATGTGTTTTAATATTCACATATATGTCGAACATATAACATCAGGCATAACATTCTGACCACCTCCTTGTTTCTACACTCATTGTCCATTTTATGAGCTCCACTTACTATATAGGTGCACTTTGTAGTTCTACAGTTACAGACTGTAGTCCATCTGTTTCTCTGCATACTTTGTTAGCCCCCTTTTACCCTGTTCTTCAATGGTCAGGACCCCCATGGACCCTCACAGAGCAGGTACTATTTGGGTGGTGGATCATTCTCAGCACTGCAGTAACACTGACATGGTGGTGGTGTGTTAGTGTGTGTTGCGCTGGTCTGAGTGGATCAGACACAGCAGTGCTGCTGGAGTGTGTAAACATCTCAGTGTCACTGCTGGACTGAGAATAGTCCACCAACCAAAAAAAAAACAGCCAACAGCGTCCTGTGGGCAGCGTCCTGTGACCACTGATGAAGGACTAGAGGATGACCAACACAAACTGTGCAGCAGCAGATGAGCTATCGTCTCTGACTTTACATCTACAAGGTGGACTGACAAGATAGGAGTGTCTAATAGAGTGGACAGTGAGTGGACACAGTGTTTAAAAACTCCAGCAGCACTGCTGTGTCTGATCCACTCGTACCAGCACAACACACACTAACACACCACCACCACATCAGTGTTACTGCAGCGCTGAGAATGATCCACCACCCAAATGTGCTCTGTGGTGGTCCTGACCACTGAAGAACAGGGTAACAAAGTATGCAGAGAAACAGATGGACTACAGTCTGTAATTGTAGAACTGCAAAGTGACCCTATATGGTCAGTGGAGCTGATTAAATGGACAAGGTGGTAGTTTTAATGTTGTGTCTGAGTGTCGTCTCCATTCAACAGACAGTCATTGTTGGAATAAAACCTCCAATTTTAACATATTTTAATATAAGCATATATATACCAACATATTGAATTTTTTAACACATTTATGTCAAACATATGTAAATATGTATCAAAATTGACACATATTCTGAAGTATTTCTCATCGTATGTGTGTTAAATTACATTTTAATTTACATTCGAATTTTTCCTCCTTTCTTTAGAAAAAAAATGTGAATTGTTAGAGAATAAAAGTGAATTAACCTTAAAAGAGGCGGGACTCTAAAAACCAATTATAGCGCGTTCTGCCGTAAAACGGGCGGGGAAAGAAAACTGCAGGTAAATTCCGCAGTTCTCCACAGAGCGTCGCTGTTTCGCAGTCTTGCGCCTCCGTTAAAACACAAACAAAAACCCGTGCAAACTCCCTCCATGCGTCGCTATTGTGCCTCGTATTTGCGGGAAACCTCACAGCCTTTCTCTCCCTCTCTCTCTCTCTCCCTCTCTCTCTCTCTCTCCCTCTCTCTCTGGGTCTCTCTCTCTCTTTTTCATTTCCCAGCCGCAGTGTTTGCTTTGCTCAGGGGCTTCTGCGTTTTTGTCATGACCGCCTGAACCAGCCCACTCTGACCCAGCTCCTCGCCTCTTCCTCCGCCCTCCGCAAGCCTGGCTCGTGTTCCGGAGGGGCTCGTTTTGGATTAATTTCTTATTTCCACATTCATGTCGATGTTGAAACATGCAGCCTCCGCCGAGAAAGGTACGAATCTCCGCTTCCTTCCTCCAGAAAAGCCTCTGCTCTCTGCGTTTCTCCTCTGACCGAACTTGTTGGTGAACTTATGGTGAAGTTGCTTCAGCGAGTGGAGCCTAAATCCATCATTTCAGCTCCTCTGCTGGCTCTGATCACAGGCTGCTCTGCGGTAATGATGGTCCATCGTCACCCCGGTGGGCTCAGTGGAAGCGGTGTGGAGGCATCCACACTGGCTGGGCTGGAGAAGAAGCCCCCCAGTCAAAGCCAGAGCAGCTGGGCTGTCACTGTGGTCACTACACAGCGTGAAGTTTAGGGTCGAGCGCACACACAGCCATGCTTGTGTTATTAGGTTTTAGGGTCATTTTACCTTCACTGTCAATAGAGTTGACCAGCCAACCACTGCGGTCAGCCTGCTTTTGCCTTCACTGTCTGCTGGAGTAGCTTCACTCTGCTTTTTGCTTTTGTCTTGTTTGTCCATCAGGCTTGCTGTCCGCTGGTTTTGCTGTACAGTACTCAAGGTTTTACTGTGCTGCCCATTGGGCTCACTGTCTTACTGCTTTAGCTGTCCCTTGGGTTCACTAACCAAAGCTTAACTAACCATGGCCTTCAGCTGTGCCTTCACTGTCCATTGGGCTTACAGTCTGCTGGGTTAGCTGTCCATCGGGTTCAGTGTGCTTTTACCTTCACTGTAGGAATAATGTCCGTCTGGGTTTACTCTGATTTGGCCTTAATTATGCATTGGGTCCATTGTTTATTGGCTCTACTGTACATAGGGTTTCACTGTGCTTTTGCCCCGGCTGCCCATTGGTTTTACTGTGCTTTTGCCCTGGCTGCCCATTGGTTTTACTGTGCTTTTGCCCTGGCTGCCCATTGGTTTCACTGTGCTTTTGCCCCGGCTGCCCATTGGTTTAACTGTACATAGGGTATTACTGTTCTTTTGCCCTGGCTGCCCATTGCTTTTACTGTGCTTTTGCCCCAGCTGCCTTTTGGTTTTACTTTACATAGGGTATTACTGTTCTTTTATCCTGGCTGCCCATTGGTTTTACTGTACATAGGGTATTACTGTGCTTTTGCCCTGGCTGCCCCTTGGTTTGACTGTACATAGGGTATTACTGTGCTTTAGCCTTAGCTGCCCCTTGGTTTTACTGTACATAGGGTATTACTGTGCTTTAGCCTTAGCTGACCATTGGTTTAACTGTACATAGGGTATTACTGTGCTTTTGCCCTGGCTGCCCATTGGTTTAACTGTACATAGGGTATTACTGTGCTTTTGCCCCAGCTGCCTTTTGGTTTGACTGTACATAGGGTATTACTGTGCTTTAGCCTTAGCTGCCCCTTGGTTTTACTGTACATAGGGTATTACTGTGCTTTTGCCCTGGCTGCCCCTTGGTTTTACTGTACATAGGGTATTACTGTGCTTTTGCCCTGGCTGCCCATTGGTTTTACTGTACATAGGGTATTACTGTGCTTTTGCCCCAGCTGCCTTTTGGTTTTACTGTACATAGGGTATTACTGTGCTTTTGCCCTGGCTGCCCGTTGGTTTTACTGTACATGGGGTATTACTGTGCTTTTGCCCTGGCTGTCCGTTGGTTTTACTGTACATGGGGTATTACTGTGCTTTTGCCCTGGCTGCCCGTTGGTTTTACTGTACATAGGGTATTACTGTGCTTTTGCCCTGGCTGCCCGTTGGTTTTACTGTACATAGGGTATTACTGTGCTTTTGCCCTGGCTGCCCGTTGGTTTTACTGTACATAGGGTATTACTGTGCTTTTGCCCTGGCTGCCCGTTGGTTTGACTGTACATAGGGTATTACTGTGCTTTTGCCCTGGCTGCCCGTTGGTTTAACTGTACATAGGGTATTACTGTGCTTTTGCCCTGGCTGCCCCTTGGTTTTACTGTACATAGGGTATTACTGTGCTTTTGCCCTGGCTGCCCCTTGGTTTTACTGTACATAGGGTATTACTGTGCTTTTGCCCTGGCTGCCCCTTGGTTTGACTGTACATAGGGTATTACTGTGCTTTAGCCTTAGCTGACCATTGGTTTAACTGTACATAGGGTATTACTGTGCTTTTGCCCTGGCTGCCCCTTGGTTTAACTGTACATAGGGTATTACTGTGCTTTTGCCCCAGCTGCCCGTTGGTTTTACTGTACATAGGGTATTACTGTGCTTTTGCCCTGGCTGTCCGTTGGTTTTACTGTACATAGGGTATTACTGTGCTTTTGCCCTGGCTGCCCTGTCTTTTTGTGTTTCACTGTCCGTTAGAATGTTCTCTCTGCTTTTGCCTTCGCTGTCTGTTAGACCTGTTGTTTACTCGTTGGTTTTACTGTACGTGATGGTTTATTGTCTATAGGGTTGTACTGTGCTTTTGTTCTTGTTGTCCATTGGGCTCACTGTCTTCTTGCTTCACTGTCCGTTGGGTTCACTAACAGTTGGTTTCACTATTCTTTTGCCTTCACTGTCCGTTGGACTCCCTGTTTACTGGGCTAGCTGTCTCACAGTACTTCCACCTTAGCTGTCAGTCAGGCGCGCCGTTCAGTGGCGTTTGTTCTTTTGCCTTTGCTGTCGGTCACATCTGCTGTGAATTTTCCGCCACTGTTCATTGGGGTTCAGTGCAATTTACTGTCCACTGGGCTTGCTGTCCATAAGGGTCTCCATCCATTGGGACTGGGCTGCTGCGTTACTCCTCCACTGTTTTTTGAGTTTACTGCTCTTGTGGATTCTCTGTGCTTTTGATCTGGGTCTGGTTGCTCTTATTTGGTGGCCTTCTTTCAGTTCCCCTCCCAAAGTGATCAGCCTCTACAAACCTTCACCAGAATGATGAGTTAGCTGGAATAGATTTGTTAAAGAGAAGATCGTTTTCAGTGGAGCCAGTCCAGCTGCCAGCCAAGCGTCTGGCTTTGCTGAACCGTCTAACAACACAGTAAAGGTGTTCTATTGCAGGGTTAAATGCCGGACAACGCTAGATCATTCCCATGCAGGCTCTACACCTGTCTTTTTCAAGAAGAATGGACACCTAGAATGAACGTACTGTAGCTACTGAGCCTCAGTTTAGAATGAGATGCCTTCTGACCTTGTGCCACCACTTTGTCTGGTGGAGGAGAAGCAGAAAACCAGCCTTAAAGCCGAGTGAAAGACTGTTAGATTTGGCTCAAAGAACGAACAGAAGTTTTTTATGAAATATTTAGACAGGACAGACGTGTCATTGACATTTCCAGGCCAGTGCTCAGTTTACACTCGCTGTAGATTTAGTCAAGATCTGAAGATGATTTATGGCGGTTAGTGTTGTTTAATGTACAAACACTGGGTTAGTTTACTCCATAAGCTTGTGGTTGGGGTTTAATCGTGTTCTTTGCAAGCTGTCTGCCAGCAGTGGCTCATAACACTGACAGGAGATTTACTCTGAGAAAGGAAGTCTGGGATGTTTTGTCTCAGTTACTACGAGTAGGACTGTAGCCCTGCTACAGAATGAGGCAGCAGGGTTGTAGTAAATAGAACGCCTGAGGCAAATATGACCAGATTTTCTTGTTGTTGTGATTAATTTGGTTATGGTGATTCTGAGCATACTTCATATTTCATTACAGAGAGCATAATTAGTCCCGTTTAAGGGAATTTAGTGCAGTACGGTATTGATAGTATTCCGATAATGTCACAATCGCGCCGCCACCATTTTGGCAGGCAACTTCAAGTTCATTCAGCAGAGCTGTGGCTGTTTGTAATGAGATAACAGAGCCATAACTGGTCCAGCAAAGGCAGTAAAACATGTTTTTTAATACATTTTAAATAGAGTATTAACCAATGTATTGGAGAGTATTGGCTTGATTTTATTTGATTTGTTGCTGCAGTGATAACAAATTAAAGTTTGTAAAGTTTTCCCAGTGCGTTAATATTTTCATGTTTTTCAATTTTCATACTAGCACACCGAATAGTTTGCAAAAAATAGTGCATATACCATTAGAAGTGCACTCATTAGCGTAGTAGGTGAAGTACAGAAGTGTGTGGTTTGGGACACGGCATCAGTCCCAAATCAGCTCCAGTGGCTGATTTTAGCTTTGCTGTGCTGCTCGTTTGCAGCTCAGTAAACATCTCCCAGCGAAAGTTTGAGTTATTTGTTGATTAATTAACAGTTATTGGGGTGAATTAAATCATTTATTGAGGTAAATTAGATCATTTATTGAGGTAAATTAAATCATTTATTGAGGTAAATTAGATCATTTATTGAGGTAAATTAGATCATTTATTGAGGTAAATTAAATCATTTATTGAGGAAAATTAGATCATTTATTGAGGTAAATTAGATCATTTATTGAGGTAAATTAAATCATTTATTGAGGTAAATTAGATCATTTATTGAGGTAAATTAAATCATTTATTGAGGTAAATTAGATCATTTATTGAGGTAAATTAAATCATTTATTGAGGTAAGCTGATGTCGGCTTTGTATTCGGTGACTTTCAAAATTCGTTCTACGTTTAAGATGCCTCAGTGTAACTGCAGCTCCGTTTAAGGTGGAACGGAAAATTCAAATGAGACGCTGGCAAATAAGAAGTTGACTTAGGCTTGATATACATATGAGTTTATTATTTAAGAGCTTTGGCAGTTTTGGTGCCACTTTTATTAGTTTTTATAAAATATCACACACTGGAATTTTCTGAATTCTGGAGATGTGCATGTTATGCAGATCCAGTCCAACAGTCTAGCTAATTTTATCCTCTTAGCGTTTTCTGGAGATGCTTCTAAAGCGCCTACGTATCTTTTCATATTTTTCGTGGTCATTCTGGTCTGTTTTGTTGGTTTTTATCCGCCTGTTGGGCTGAATCTGCAATAAGGGTGATGAGACGAGCTCCATCAGACACACACACACAAACACACACAAACACACACACACACACACACACACACACACACACACACACACACACACACACACACACCTAGGGGCAGTTTAGTGTGTCCAGTCAGCCTGACTGCATGTCTTTGGACTGTGTGAGGAAACCCATGCAGACACAGA